CCCCCCGTTTCTTAGATCATGTCTTCAGAGGGTAAGCATTCTTCTCCTTAGCCTGCTGTGGACATTGGTCTACAATGCAGTAGCGCATAGTACCAGCACTGAAAGCTTCTGATCAAAGTCTTGAAATTTCCTCTTGAATTTCTGTGTATTAAACTGAATTTCCCCATTATTTTTCTTATTGTATTCATTAACTTATAGTGTCCTTAGGTATTGATGAGGTATAATCATGAAGGACTATATCTAACCTGATAGTTGCATTTTTAAAACACCATAATCATTTTCTTCAAGTGCTGAATGTAAAGTGTAGTATAAAAATGGACATTAAAATATTTGCATTTTTGACATCATTAACTGTTGGGTCAGTTTATTCTGGGGTACCCCTCATCCTTTGATGACTTAGGTCAACAAATATTTATTTATTGGGCATTTGGCTCTGTAGCCACACAGGATAATGCTGGCTCCATTCTCAGGAATCTGAAATTTAGCAGGCAAGACTAATACGTAAACTTTCATCCATTATTTTGGTAGCTCCTGGAATGCCAAACGTGCCAGATTGGCCTTTGGAGGCATTGGAATGAATTAAAAAGAAACATCTTCATTCTCTTGATTCTAGAGAAGCCCAATAATATACAGTAGAAATCAGGTAGCTGCACGGTTGGAGCAGAGTTCTGAGTAGGGTTTTCAGGAAAGTCCTTAGGGAGAAGAGACTGGATCTATTTCTCATCTGTGAAATGAAGGTAATTATGTCCATCTTGGGATTTTGTTTTGGTTTTGGTTTTTTGATTTTTTCAAGACAGGGTTTCTCCATGTAGCTTTGTTGCCTGTTCTGGATCTCACTCTGTAGACCAGGCTGGAACTCACAGAGATCCACCTGCCTCTGCCTCCCAAGTACTGGAATTAAAGGCATGTGCCACCGCCCTGCTGGGGTTTTTATATGAATCAAATGAGAGAAAACATGTAGAAAAGGGAGTTAGCAAGTGTCTTAGTGACTTTTCTGTTGCTTTGACAAAACATATGACCAAGACAACTTATAAAAGAAAGAATTTAATTGGAGGCTCATGGTTTCATAGGAGCAGTCCATGCCTTGCATAGCAGCAGGCAGGCATGGCACTGGAGCAGAGCTGAGAGCTTACATCTGATCCACAAGCACAAGACAGAAGTCTAACTGGGAATGGTGTGGGCTGTTGAAACCTCAAAGCCCACCGTGGGGCCTCCAACAAGGCCACACCTCCTGATCCTTCCAAACAAACAGTTCCACCAACTGGGGACAAGCATTCAAATATATGAGCTGATGGGAGTCATTTTCATTCAAACTACATTTCACACTCTCTGCCTCCTATAGACTTGTGCCCATATCATAATTCAAAAACACATTTAGTCCAAATTAAAGTTCCTGTAGTCTTTCAGTCTCAATACAGTTACAAAGTCTAAAGTCTCCTTTGAGACTCAAGGTAATCTCTTAATTGTAACCCCTGTAAAATGAAAAAGCAAGTTACATAACAACAACATACAATGGCATAAAATATACATTACCATAACAAAAAAGAATTGTGAGCATATTAAGAAACCACTGAACAAAACCTCATCAGGGCAAACTCCTAAATTCTGTAGCTCCAGGTCTGAGATCAAAGGGCTTAGATGGTAGTTTGGATCTCTCACTCCCTTCTGCATTGTTGACTGCAACATAGTTCATTCTCTTGGGCTCTCTGCAGTTCTGCCTGGTAGACATTCTATGGATTCGTCATTTCCAACATCCTATGTTCTCCAACAAAATTAGGCTTGACTTTCATAGCTTCACACAATGACCTCTCTGGGCTTCCATGTGGGGATTCTACTGCCACAGGTCTGGTTTCAGCAGGTATCTTAGAGGAACATTGGAGGAAGATTCCATTACCATTTCACCCCTTTATCCTTCAGGACGCCAAAGCCAGAACCTTGTGGCAAATGCTGCCAAGTTTGACTGCTCACTTGCCCCTTATTGGATTGTATTTGCATAAACTTTGATTAGTCTATGCTATTTAGGAACAGGCCTAATTCCTTAGACCTTTTTACACATTGCAGGATTAGGTGGCTACGGTACTGCCCGGAGGGTATCACTCACTTTATTCCATTTCTTTTTATTTCAACACAACCATGGCAACAACATTAAATTTCCTGGTGCTCTTCTTTATCCTCAAACTGTATATTTTTTATTTCTTTTTGTTCTACTTGCTCTTTTTCATTGTAGATCACTAGGCAGTAGTGGTGCATGCCTTTAATCCCAGCACTTGAGAGGCAGAGACAGGTAGATCTCTTAGTTCAAACAGGTAGATCTCTTAGTTCAAGGCCAGCCTGGTCCAAGGAGCAAGTTCCAGGACAGCCAGGACTACACAAAAAAGAAACCCTGTCTTAAAAAAAAAAAAAAAAAAAAAGTGATCACTAATGCCCATACAACTGAGTAAATACTAGGCTCTCTTGAAATCTCTGCCAACAAAATTAGTCCAAAACTCTTCAATTCAGCCTCAGGCAGATTTTTAGGACAAGCAGCCATATTCTTTGCCAAAGTTTCAAAGAATGATCTCTAGCCCAGGGGCTTACATTGTTTCCCTCTGACACCTTGAGCTGGGCCTCTATAATCCATATTGTTCTCAGCACTTTTGTCTTCCAAGCTCCTACTAGGATGGTGAATTAAGTCCAGCATACAGTGGCCAGCCATAAGTCCTAAAGTCTTCCACATTACTCTTAAGAAAGGGGGAAAAAAAAAAGTAAAGCCTGTCACAGCAAAATAGTCCACACCCTAGTATCAATCTTGTATAAATGGAGGATATGACTGCTCCAAGGTATGATTGAGAGGAATGTTTTTATTGTATATATGAGGGAAAGTTCAGCCAGAGGCATCTGGAAGAGTCTAGAACAGGCAAAGAAAGTGGTAGATTTAACATGGCCAGCAGGTTGGAGTGGGCCATGGTTGGGGTTGGTGTAGTGGGTAGCCATTCCAGCTTTGATCTGGAAGGTCCAACCCCCATTGAGACTCTGGCAACCGTCACGCCTATGAGGCGGGGCCAGGGGAGGCGCCTGGAGACTGGAGAGCTGGATGGGCCAGCGCTCTCTCTGGGAATGATGTGGGCTTTTGAAATCTCAAAGCCCACCCCAGGGGACACACTTCCAACAAGGATATACTTCCTAATCCTTCCCAAATAAACGGTTCCACAAACTGGAGACCAAGCATTCAAATATATGATCCTATTGGGGCATTCTCATTCAAACTACCAAAAAGAGTAAGGGTCTGCTAGGCAGGAGACGTGAATAATAACTGCAGAGGGCCAGAGGCAAGGAAGAGCTGAAGGAGCACAAAGGCGAATGACAGTAGGGGCCCAAAGCCCCTCAGACAAGCTAAGGACTAGACTCTAGATGTGGTGGGGAATATCTTTAAGACTTTGAAGAGTGGCAGGATGAACATTGCAGTTCATGCCTGCATGCAGGAGGATTCAAGCCCAGCCTGGGCTACTGTGGTGGTTTGAATACGAATGACCCCCATAGATACATGTGTTTGTATACTTGGTGTAGATGTAACCAACCGTCTTATTAAATAAGAAACACAGAACCAATGCAAAGAAGAAAGCCAAGAGATCAGAGCTAAGAGCCGTAATTACCCGCCTGCTGCAGCTAGCCTCTTAAGCCAAGAGACCTCTCCGAAAGAGACCTATTTCCTGTCTGTTTGTCTTTATATAGACTTTCTGTTCTGCCTTCTCATTGATTGTAAACCCAACCACATGACTGCCTCATCACTGCCTGTATGTACAGCCCTCCAGGTCTTCTATGGTATTGAGATTAAAGGTGTGTGTCTCCAATGCTGGCTGTATCCTTGACCACACAGAGATCTACCTAGCTCTGCCTACCAAGTGCTGGGATTAAAGGCGTGCGCCACGAATGCCCAGCTCTGCTATGGCTTGCTATTAGCTCTGACCCCCAGGCAACTTTATTTATTAACATACAAATAAAGTCACATTTCAGTACAATTAAAATATCACCATATTTCTATAGGGAGTGGTACTAGTAGGAGATGTGGCCTTGTTGAAGTAGGTGTGACTTTGATGGAGGAAGTGTGTCACTAGGGGGTGATGGCCTTTGAGGTCTCAGAAGCTCAAGCCAGTTCACGCAGCATAGTTCCTGAAGAGTTCTGTAGCTGGCTTGATCTGTCTTTTGTGACTGCTACCTTTTGTGTCCAGTACCTTCTGTTTGAAGTATCTAAATCTTATCTGAGAGTTTCCTAAATGTTTAAAGCCTATTCAAAACTTGGTTACTGGAGGACTCAGTAAACTGAGATGTCCTGTGGCCAGGAATTGCTATGGCATTTGTCTCTTTGGGTAGCTTCAGATAAGAGGTTTTGGTATTCAGAAACTGACTTGCTAAAGGTGTGAATTGTATACAATTTTAAAAAGCCCTTTGCAAAGCTACAGTCAGTTCACCAAAGGCTGTCTCCCCTGCAGCTGCAAAGGCTAAAATTCACCCTAGAATTTTAGGGTGACCCTATTTCTTTCACGGACCATGTGAACCCAGCACCTGACCCAACAAATTCACTTCCTGCTGCCTTCAGATCCAGATGTAGAACTCTCAGTTCCTTCTCCAGCACCATGTCTGCCTGCATGCCACCATGCTTTCCTCCACGACAATTATGGACTAAACCTCTAAACTGTAAGCCAGCCCTAGTTAAATGTTTTCCTTTATAAGTGTTGTTGTGGTCCTGGTGTCTCTTCACAGCAATAAAAATCCCAAGACAAAAGTTGGTACCAGGAGTGAACTAATAGGTCTGACCATACTTTTGTTTGAAGGAATGTAGACTGTTGTGGAATTTTATTCTTAGATGTGTTACATTTATTTATCCTGTGGGACATTTGTTTAATGATGCAAAGATATGTTGCATTTGTTTAACTCTGTGAAGCTATGTTACTTTGCCTGTCTAAAACACCTGATT